AAAATCCATCAACAAAACAACAAGAAAGCCCAGTGTATGGGAGAACATATTTGCAAATGTTATCACTGATAAAGATTTAATCTCCAACATCTACAGACAGCTTATACAACTTAATAAAAGGAAGGCAATTGAGCCAATTAAAAATGGGCAATGGATCTAAATAGAATCTTCTCAAAAGAAGAAAGAAGGAAGGCCAAGAGGCACACAAAAACATGCTCAAAGTCACTAATTATCCGAGAGATGCAAATCAAAACAATAATGCGGTACCATCTCACACCTGACAGAATGGCCAACATCAACAAATCAACAAACGACAAGTGTTGGCGAGGTTGTGGAGAAAAAGGAACCCTCGTGCACTGCTAGTGGGAATGCAGACTGGTGCAACCACTGTGGAGAACAGTATGGAGTTCCCTCAAAAAACTGAAAATGGAACTCCCATTTGACCCAGTAATCCCACTCCTAGGAATATATCCCAAGAAACTAGAAACACCAATCAGATAGGATATATGCAGCCCTATGTTCATAGCAGCACAATTTACAATAGTTAGGATTTGGAAACAGCCTACGTGCCTGTCAGTAGATGATTGGATCCAAAAACCATAGTACATCTACACAATGGAATATTATGCTTCCATAAAAAAGAATGAATTCTCATCATTTGCTACAACCTGGATGGAATTGCAGAACATCATGCTGAGTGAAATAAGCCAGTCAATGAAAGAGAAACACCACATGACCTCACTCATTTATGGATAATAAAGATCATTATAAACTGATGAACCAAAAGATAGATATAGAGACAGTAAAGCACCCAGGGGACTGTCAAATTACAGCGGGGAAAGTAGGGAGATCTGGGGAAGATAAGAGATCAACTGAAGGACTTGTATACATGCATCTAAGTACAACCAATGGTCACAAAACTCTGGGAAGGGAGGGTATGTATGGGAGGGGGAGGCAATGTTAAAATATGTACACAGATAATAATTTCATAAAAATATTTTTTAAAAAAAGAAAAAGAAAAGAAAAGAAAAGAAAAATAAGCCAAAACCTGTTTGGCTCACTGGCTAGATCGTCCATCTGCAGACTGAGAGGTCCCAGGTTCGATTCCGGTCAAGGGCATGGACATTGGTTGCGGGCACATCCCCAGTGGGAGGTATGCAGGAGGCAGATGGTCAATGTTTCTCTCTCATCGACATTTCTGGCTCTCTATCCCTCTCCCTTCCTCTCTGTAAAAAATCAATAAAATATATATTTTTTAAAAAGATAAATGACCATTCAAAATTTAAAAAAAATAAAAATTAGTTTTCAATTGTGTGTCCCGTTATAAAGAGAACATATTCTCACTGAATTCAAGCAAACAACCATATTTCTAAGAAAATAAAATGATATTCATTAAAAGTTTCCAAATTCTAAAGGGAGAAGGTAGGGAGAAAAATATAAATGCTTTGGGATTGCTTACCAAGGTGTAACGTACCACACTGCTCTAAGGAGAAAACAAGTGTTCTTATGTCTAGATAACAAAATATATATATATTTAAAATTAGTAACATTTAGTCTAGCAATTTGGCTCAGTGGATAGAGCATCGGCTTGCAAACCAAAGGGTCCCAGGTTTGGCTCTGATCAAGGGTATGTACCTTTTTTGCAGGCTCCTCCCCCACCCAGGTCCTGGTCAGGGCTCTTGCGGGAGGCAACAAATCAATGTCTTTCTCTCACATGGATATTCCCCCCCTCCCTCCCCCCAATGTTTAGTTGTCAGCTAAACGGGGCCTCCACTACACCTCTCGGTCTTCACAGCACTGCCATCCCAAGGGAACCAGAGAGCTCAGTTCCTGGAAGGTCTGTCCGTGCCCACACAAGGCCATTCTCTCTTCCTGTGTAGCTAAACGGGGACATTCGAAACCCTCAATCCTCCACTGGCCGGTGCCACTGGGCAATGTGTCGGAGCAGCAGGAGCGTTCTATTCCTCCCTCACATTGTGTACTATTTCCCTGCACAGAGGATACAACCACTTATTTGATGGGTTTGCCTCTAGATGCGTACGTCAGCTGTTTCCAATCTGTGATTTCAAAGGATGCTGCAAAGCAAAACCTTGTACTCCTGCCTGGGTGGCATAAGTCTCCGGTGCCCAGGCTCTTAGCTGGAGAAGCATCTTGTGGAATTGTCACAGCATCCTGGGAGTCAGTACTACTGTCAGCCACACATATCAGATGTGCACTCCCCACCCCAATGACTAGTCAGCACAAAAGATGGGATTTGGACATGATCTGGCTCCAGCACCCATGCCCACAATTAGCCCCTATCTTTTTAGAGATTTTTTTTTTTTTATTGACAGAGAGTGAGAGAAACATCAATTTGAGAGGGAAACATCGATCGCTATCTCTTGGATGCCCCCCACAGGGTTTAAGCCCGTAACCTGGGCCTGTGCCCTGATGAGGAATCTAACTGGCAAACCTTTGGGTGAAGAGGGCAATGTCCAATGGCCTGAGCCACCCTGGCCAGGGTCTCAGCCCCTGTCTTGATGACTATGACCCGCTGGCTCTTCCAAAGGTTGGGGAGGCCGGGTGGACAGCCTTGTTCCAGCCCTCACACCCAGCCTAGACATGCTGCAGCAGCAGGGTCCCCAGAACCCTGGGAAGGACCCTCTTACCTCCAGATGAAGTCTGAGCCCTTGGCCTGGCCCCAGGTTGTCTCGAGAGAACTGGCCTGGTGGTTCACCTCTTTCCAATCCTATGTGCCTCCTGTCATGTCACTTTTGCTGTTCGTCACCCTACACCCGTCAAGGCTGATTCATCGCCAGCTACTATCAGACATGGCACCGAGGGAAGATCACAGACATCTTCCAAGTGACAGACTCTGGGAGGCCAACCCCTTACACCAGACACACAGTACAGAATTGTCCTGTCCGGCTCTCTACAGGGGAGCTTGACCCGGACTCCTGAAAGCCCAAGAGACCATAGGCTCTGCCCAGACCTGAATGAGGCCCTCAACCCAACTGTGCACAAGGCAGGAGCCCTGAGCACCACGAACCTTCTGTAGACAATCCCCCTGTGGCCCCTCATGGGGTTGAAACCTGTCCAGCCATCCTGGAAAGGGCTATCAGCAAGCTCCCCACACCTCCGAAGTCAAAGTCTAGTTCAGGTGCTCAGAGATGACAAACAATCCACGTTCCGGTCCCACTTTGTTTGCCTAGACTCCGGGGCCAAGACAACAAACAGGATACGTCCGTCCGGGAGCCTCCTCCAGGAACAGCCCCCACCGATCTGTCTTGAAGGTGTCCCCTACTCCTCCTCCCTTCTGGATGGGGGCCCACACGGCCTGGGGTATAAAAGGCCCGGTGGAGGGTGCCCAGGTGCAAGACTCCCCTGTGCCAGAACTGGCTGACAAGACTTTCCTGGCCAGGTAGGGCGGTGCTCCCCTCCCGTGGATGGGGCCGACAGGGTCAAGCAGGGCCCCTCTCTGAGCACCTGGTGGCCTCTTCCCTTCTTTCCAGGAGACTTGGGACTCAGGAGCCAGAAACCATGCTGCTATGGCTGACCCTCGCTGTCCTGTGTAGCACCGCCTGCTGGGCAGATCGTGAGTCTGGCTGGGTCTGCCTCCCTCCATCCCACCCTCCGGGTCTGGGCTCAGCCCGGGACTGACTCTGGTCTCAGAACCATCCCCTCAGCTTGGAGGGGCTTCATCAGTTCTGCAAAAAAGATAACCGATAGGTCCCCATGTCATTTTCTCTCCCTCCCTCAACTGGCTCTTTTTGTCCATCTAGAGATGTATGGATATTCAACAGGCACGTACTTCCACTCCAGTCGAGACAATAAAAATGACATATCTGGGATCCGGGTATCCATAAGTCTTATAGGCATAATTAAGAGGTGAGTCTGGGCAGGGCACAAGGTCCGATCTCTGTACCAATGAGTGCCAAGGTCTTAGAACTTGGGGAGGGAGGCTTGGCAACTCTTCTCCAACACTTTCGTGGGGCTCCTGAGGACTCCCCGAGGCCAGTTTGGAGTCACACAGCCACCAGCCATCGCCTTTTGTCTTGTCCCTTTTCCTCAGCCACCTCCTCTCCTGCACACCCGTCCCACTTCCCTCTGTCTCCACCTACAAGTGCAGACACTGCTTCTTGGTTTGATCTCAATAGAGGGATAAATAATGCTTCTCCCTTCTTGCTCCTTTCAACCCAAACTTAACTCAACCAAAAGCAGCCTTTCAGTCTGAGAATGCCAGAGGGGAACATGATGGGGGAGGTTAGGGTCAAAGAGGAAGGAAGTGAGGGTCAGAGTGGACCACTGCTTGAACACAATTCTCCAGACCCCGTCGAGGCAGAGCCCAGGCCCATTCCCCTAATGTTAGGGTGGTGTCCTTGCTTGAAGCCTGGGGGAAATCTTTGCTCTCCACTGAAGGGGTCCCGGGGACCTGGGAGAGAGGATGGGGGAGGGCAGCCAGGAGTGAAAGGACAGAGTATGGGGCCAGGAGCGGTGGAGGAGGAGGCTCTTGGACAGGCATGAAGGTGTGCAGAAGGACACAGACAGACTCAGATGAGCAAAGCTGGTGGGATTCCCCCAGGGGGGTGTGAGAAGTCACTTGCTTCTCAGGCCTGCAACATGACCTATTGGGAGTGATTGGAATCACTCAGAAAAGCCAAGCGTGTCTGGGGAACAGCTCCCTGCTCTGAGCAAGGGTGACAGCTGGCGCCGCCTGAAGGTCATGGTGACCTGGCGTTTCGCAGAGCTCTCCTTACCGGTGACCTCAATGCCAGCTCCCAACAACCACCCCCACGCTGCCAAGGGGAACGCTGAGGCCCGAAAGGCTGGCCAACAAGCCCAAGACCACAGAGCCTGAAAGCAGCAGAGTGGCTTGTCTGCCTCAGGATCCCCAAGTCCTGGGCTCAGAGGCTTGTGTCGCAGGGATAGGGCTGTGCTCCTGGCTGGTGGCTGCGGGGAGGGGTGTGTGAGGGATAGAGGACCTGGGGATGATGAGGCTCAAAGCTCCCCTTTTCTTCCAGTGTCCAGCTGAGATATGGATCCAAGTGGAGCAAAATATATGGCGTCCAAAGTGGGCAGGCCGAGGAATTCCTCCTGGGGCCAGATGAATACATTGTAGGGATTGTCGGCTCACACGGGATCTATATCCGCCGCCTGGTTGTCTGTACCAACTTGGGGCGCTGTGCCCCATTTGGGAAGGAAAGTGGCTACACCTTCACCTCCTCCCCGAGCGACCGTGGCAAGATACTCACAGGAGTCTTCGGCCGGACCCAACTCCTTGGCATCAGGGGCATTGGTTTTAAGTGGGACTATCCTAAAACTGTACCTCCCCCACCAAACCCTAATAAGAAACAGAGAAAAACTGGCTGATACGGCAAGGTCTCAGCCTGGCCCAGGTCAGAGCACATACAAGAATCAGCCAATGCATGCATAAATAAGTGGAACAACAAATTGATCTCTCTCTCTCTCTCTCTCTCTCTCTCTCTCTCTCTCTGTCTCTCTCTTTGAAATTAATAAAAAATATTTTAAAAAGAACAATTACCTGAAACTGGTTTGGCTCAGTGGATAGAGTGTCGGCCTGCAGACTGAGGGTCCTGGGTTTGATTCTGGTCAAGGGCATGTGCCTTGGTTTTGGCACATTCCCAGAAGTAGGTGTGCAGGAGACAGCTAATCACTGTTTCTCTCACATCGATATTTCTAAATCTCTATCCCTCTCTCTTTCTCTCTGTAAAAAGTCAATAATATATATATATTTTTAAATAAAACAATAATAAAGAGAATAACTAAATAATGTCACAAAAAATGAGTATCCCAGGTCCCCAGGGATGGGGGCATGGGTCACCCTGTTGAGGCTGTTGGACTGGTGGCAGCCCTGGGATAGCCAAGTCGGATGCTGAATCAGAATCCCCCAAATAAAGCTCCCGCTGCAGGAACAGTGCGTCCAGGTGCGGTCCTGGGTCTGGTGTACCCCCAAGCCCTCTGAGCTCATGGGGAATCTGGCCTCCTTGTTAGAGCTCAGCGAACGGAGCTGCAGGATAGCACAGGAGGTGGGTCTGACACCCCAGGCCCCAACGATTCTGCTGAGAGTGCAGGACCGACTCTGGGCTGATTCCACAATTTTAGAGGATTCTGAGCTCCAGCGATGCCCCCCAGCCCTGCTGGACAACCCAAGGCCTGCCGTTGGCTTCTGCCCAGGTCAGGGCTAGACTTCTCTGAGTGTACTGGCCTCAGGGGAGCCACTCACTCACTCACTCACTCACTCACTCACTCAATCACTGGGCACATATTCGCCAAGCCCTCGCCCATGCCAGGCTCTCCTGGGTGTAAAGAAGAAGAGACCAGCTGTTCAGGGGAGAGGCCCCTCGTGGGGGTGGAGGCAGTCACTGGAGCAGACGGTGGCGGTTGGCTGTGGCATCTGTGTTGAAGGGGATTGTGCAGGGCATGGTACCTGGGCACCTTCCCAGAGGTGGGGAGGGGGGATGTGCTTCAGGGAAGCCTTCCGGGAAGAGCTCTGTCCTGGAGGCCGCGTGAGAACGGGCCAGTTGGAGGCAAGGGAAGAGGTCATTCCAGGGGAGGGATCGACCTGGGCAAAGGCGAGAGCCAGAGCTAGCCGAGGGCCCTGCTCCTGAAGCGTGGTGAGTGGTTACAGGGGCAACAGAGTGGTAACGCAGACCCCAGGCCTTGCACATCCTTCACGTCTCCCTTCACAAGCCCAGACTCTTGCCAAGGTCTGAGGCCCAGAGTCCACCAGGGTCAAGGCTTCCTCCAAATGTTTTGAATCGTGACCCCCAGGAAGAAACACGTTCTGTGCTGTGACACAGAACACACACACACACACACACACACACACACACACACACACACGTCTATCAAACCTCCACAGCCAAACAACAGTCCTGCCAAGTGCCCATCCCCCCTGAGCTCCCAGCTCACAGCAGCCCTGGGAGGACAGCTTCCATCATCACCTCCTGCAAAAGGAGACCCCGGAGGCACAGAGAGCACAGCAGCGCTGGGCAGAAAAGGAGGCTCAACCGGAGGTGGTCTGGCTGCAAAGCCTGGGCCAGAACCACACACCCAGGCAAAGATTTCCTACCGATCCTCTTCCTTCAGTGGGAGGTGCAGCAGACACATTTATTTTTCTGTACTTCAATTTTAAATTCTGGTTGAGAGCCCCTTGTGGTCTTAACTTGGGAGACTGTGCTGGAAATTCAGAGAGCCCGTGAACTTGGTCCAGGAAAAGAATTGTCTCCTTATTTTCATCGCCTTCTACTGGAAATTTTGTTTTTCCTTCCATTATTAACGTGACCTTCCTCACCTCATCAACAGGGCCTGAGGCTTTGTTGTATTATTTACAGTTGTCCTGGTATCTTGAAATATATGCACATCACGACTTCAAAATTATGGGTGTTTAGAGGTGTCGCTCAAAGTGTCAGTAATAACAGCACAGAAATATACACTGAGTGGCCAGATTATGATGATCTCTGAAGGCACAATAATCTGGCCACTCAGTGTACCTCATTTATTTCACACTATAACTCCTGCACCAGATCAGTTTTCCCCTTTGCATTGCCTGATAGAAAACTCTGGGCAAATAGGTGGTTGATCTCCAGCAAAAGCCTAGAACTTTTGGTACCCATTTGAGATACAAATACACTGAGTGGCCAGATTATTATGCGTTCAGAGACGATCTGGCCACTCAGTGCCTAGAGCACGTATCAGAAACATTCTGACAGGTAAACCTGAGCTCGCTGTGCAGGAACCCCTTCTATGTCTATAGGGGGGAGTGAGTTTTGAGGGGGGGGAGGGAGAAACACCTTGCATCCCGCCTTCATCCTGCTCCACCTGGCTCCAGGGCCCTGCTGTTGCACAATTAATGTCTTGCCTTTGATTTGCTGAAAGGGAAACCTGTTTTCAGTTATAAAGGGATTCTTTTTTTAAAAATATGTTTTTCATTGATTTTTTTACAGAGAGTAACGGAAAGGGAGAGAGAATTAGAAACATCAATGAGAGAGAAACATCAATCGGCTGCCTCCTGCACACACCCTATTGGAGATGTGCCTGCAACCCAGGTACAACCCAGGTACATGCCCTTGACTGGAATCAAACCAGGGACCCTTTAGTCCGCAGGCACACGCTCTATCCAGTGAGCCAAACCAGTTAGGGCTTTTAAGGGATTCTTGATCCCTTTCACAGGTGCTCACCTTTCTTGGGACTGACAAGTGCAAAGGGGGTCCCTGCCCCCCAATACCTCCTGGTGCGGCCACAGATATAGCCAGAAATGGGAAGAGCACTAAGTCATTGCCTTGTGATAGGGATCAGATAGGATGAAAGTGGGAGAGGACAGTGGGAAGAGGACGGAGAGGGTTAGGGTGAGCAAACACGGACCCAGCTCCGGGCTTGTGTGAGGACAAAGGAAGTGTGAAACACAGTGGGTGGCACAGTGGGTCTTATTTGTGGAAGAGTCCCAGGAACCTTTCAGGACACACCCCTCTACCCAGCCTTTACGTGGGGGCAGGAGACCCCAGCTGTGGTCTTGGGCCTCCGTTGATTGCTACTCCTGCGTGTCCCTGTGGGTGCATGGACAGCTGCACGCTGGCTGGGGCACAGACCACTGCCAAGGAGGCTGTGGGCAGTCACCTCCTGCTGCCATAGTGGGAAAGACTCTCAAAGAGTATGGATTACTGTCCCTTTTGGCCTTCTGGTGGCCGGCTCCCACCATCCAGCCAGAGTGAGGCCAAGGCTAAGCCCTCTGGCCCACGCTATCAACTAAGCCCATCACCTAAGTCTAAGCTGAGCCAGCCATTCTCAGGGCCACAGCTGGGCGGGTTCTGCGTGTGCCTGGTGGTGTCACGTGTGAATAGGGGGCCTTGGGGCAGCCAAGGGGCTGAACACTGATGAACAGAGAACAGCAGAAAGACAGAGATGGCCCGAATGGCCTTCCCGCCAGGCTGTAGACTTTGTAGATCAGCTATTCCTGCTCTTACATGCCAACATACACCCAAGGAGGAATGCAACTGAAATGCAGGACACCCAGTTAGGTTGGAATTTCAGATATACAATAATAATTTTTAGTCTAAGTATATGTACAGCAAACCTTGCATTTTTAAAAAGTATAACTATGTCCCCAATATATATTAAAAAAAAATTTTTTTTTTATTGGAATCATATCTCAAATACTGCATAGGGTGTAGTTAGGCTACTAAATTATTTGTTATATCTGAAACAAACTTTAATGGAGTGCACTGTGTTTATATTTCCTGAATTTGGCAGCCCGAACCCAAGACACCTGGGAGCTGTGGGAGGAGAGAGCGCTGGCGGCAGCGCTCAGGACAGGGCCTGGCAGGGAGGACCGCCACTCTGGCCAGAGGAAAGGGAGACAGAACTGCCCAGGATGAAGCAATTCCTGCTGCTTACTACCAAGGCCCCGAGGCACCAGGAAAACCCCAGGGGAGGGATCCTGCAATCGTCCCCATTTGACACATGAGTGCCCCAGCCTTTCCAAACTTGGAGCACTTTCACCAGCTTCATTTAGGACCTGCCTCTCCCTCACTCAGGGCTGAGTCACTCCATCGCTCCCTAACACCCAGAACCTAGGTGGGACCCAGGCTGTGCTGGGTGGAGACACCAGGAAGCTGGGAGCGCAGGCCCTGCTCTAGGGGCTGCAGTGGTTGAAACCCTCTTCAGGGAAGCAGCACAGAGTGGATACGTTTGGGGATCCAGCCCTTGGACCCTTAGTCTTCCTTGCCCCTTGTTGAGGTGTGCTGAGCCAGCATGGCCAAAGCTGAATCTGAGAGGGGGCGTGAAGGATTGAGAAAAGACAGACAAGAGAATGAAAGCAGGGTCTGGGTGTTATGCTGCCTCTCTGATGGAGAGACAGTGACAGCGCCCACAAGTGGTGCCTTTATTTTATAGCCAGATTTCCACAAGGCAAACTGAGGGTGTGGTCAAGATGTTTACAACATTCTCATGAGTTTCGATCTTACTCAATTACATGCACCTGAACTCTATCAAGCTCATTTCACTCAGGCACGTGGGGACACATTTTGGGACCATACGTTCAAGCTCACAACCATAGCTGTTGGCTATAAAAATGCTGGGAAGGCTCTGCCTGCCAGCAGCTGAGACTTGCACGTGACCATGAGAGGACTGTGCCCCCTCCTTAGTCCGAGGTTTGAACCTGTCCAAACACTGTAGCCGCTCTCCACAATGAGGCCCATCACCCCAAGGGAGACCCAATCCCCATGGAGGCTCCCCTTTGTAACTGCTTCTCTGCAGGCAGCCGTATATCAGAGAGGGGGGCAGGACAGTTCGTGGGGACAGGGGCCACATCCTCAAATGTCTGGCTCAGCTCTGCATTCAGCAGGTGTGGA